GATAGATAGATAGATAGATAGATACAGTAGATAGATAGGTAGATAGATAGATAGATAGATAGATAGATAGATACAGTAGATAGATAGGTAGATATATAGATAGATAGATAGATAGATGGATAGATAGATAGATAGGTAGATATATAGATATACTTTATTGATCCCAATTTGGGAAATGATGTTGTCACAGAAGCAGTGTGTTCAACATTAAAATACAAATACTTACAAAAGTGGAATAGAGAATTAACAACTATAAATGAAAATGAAAGCAGTATATCAAATATAAACCATATCAAATATTCTGAATAATAAAAATGTTCATATAAAAAGTCCAAAATAGTCATTTCTCCGGCATATATAAATATTTAACGTTGGTGACATTTTCAACTTTTTACTTCTGAATCAGTCTTTGGATTCAATTCCCCGGCCACATGTATACTAATGTTTGTCGGTTGATGACAAAGATTAATATCTGACAGTCTTTTCAGCTTGCGAGCCAGAGAACTGGTCGTAACGACCAACTGTCAGCGTGGGTTTGGCATCCCATCACTCTGTTACTGAAGAAGTGCAGAACAGCATCTGCTGCAGCGATGCTTGTGATAACAGGTGTCTCAACCATAGGATTGTCGGCTGGTTGCCTTGGAAACAGATGTTTGAAAAACCCTTCCTCCTGCCACGTTTCCCTTGTTCCTTCTTTTTTGTTCTCGCAGTCTCTATCTCATTGTTGATTTGTATCCTCCATCTTGATGCCTTTGATGTTTTGCCTGTTTTCTTTGCTGGTTTTCCTCATCCGTACTCACTGATCTTCTTTTTCTCCCCACAGTTGCACCAACAGTGAGAATTGTTCCTCCACCTGGAATTATGCGAGAGGGCGACTCGCTCAGCTTGACCTGCTCCGTCACTGGGAACCCTCTGTAAGTGTGTGTGTGTGTGTGTGTGTGTGTGTGTGTGTGTGTGTGTGTGTGTGTGTGTGTGTGTGTGTGTGTGTGTGTGTGTGTGTGTGTGTGTGTGTGTGTGTGTGTGTGTGTGTGTGTGTGTGTGTGTGTGTGTGTGTGTACATGTTCTAAAATGCTATGTGCTAAAGTAAATTACTTTTTTTTTGGACATATTTGTCCTTTACTTGAGTTTATTTATTTCCACTTATTTCTACTCCCCATTATAGAGGCAAATAATGTACTTTTTGCTCCACTACATTTATTTAACACTCACAGTTACTTTTTACATATAAAAAACATGTGATATGTTATAATTCAGTACTGTACTGCTAATCGACACCGTATTTCTAATATCTAAATTTGCTCCACAATGACGCACTACAACACTACAATGCTCTTACATGTATGAAAACAGGATAAAAGAATAACCATACTAAAATCAGACTGTGAAATAATATTCTCCATAACAAGGACTTTTACTTTTGATTCTTGAAATACATTTAGCTGAAAATACTTCTGCGCTTTTACTAAAGTTACATTTTGAAATGACGACTTTTACTTGAGTATTTTAAGACCATAGTATTTGTACTTTTGTACTACTAGTAAAGGATCTGAGCACTACTTGAATATACTGTAATGGCACAACAACTGTAGAACCTCACAATATGTAAGTAACAAACACATGCACATATAAACACACACACAGGTTAATGCTGCTCAGCTCATGTGCTATATTTGGTACGCAAGTCAAAGTGGTTTGAAAAGGTATTATATATTTGTAGTTTGAAGTTCAAAAAAGAAATTGAATCATTAATTTCACCTTCAGCGATAAATGAAACGGCGGAGCACAAAGCGCTGCTTGTGAAGCCTGGTTGTTTTGTGTTTCTCATTCCATAATGAATTCCTGACATAATAATCACAGAACTATGAAAGGTTTGTCTTGACAAAGCGTTTGTGCTTGAAAAGCTGAAAAGAGTCCCTACACATCGGCTTAAGGACACACAGAAAGCGTTTGATTGATGGCGACATGGAGGCTGCCAAGTCCAATGACAACGTTTCACAAACACTACATTTTTACAAAGTGATGCTGCGGGGCAGCAGTTATTCACACATGGGAATAGTTTGAAGCTATGATGAGGATAGCATTGAGGTGGTAACATCAGCAAACAGCTGCTAGCTGCAGGTAGCTTCTACACAGACAGACACAAGCCTAAAGGGTTCTACTTTCAAATCTGGCAATCTGTTTGGAGGCTTTAGGTCATTTCAGTTCACGCATTTACCCAGAACCCCTTAAGTGCAGGATAAGTATAAAATAGGCTTGGATTTAGCTGCCTAGAGTGATTGCAAAAGTGTCTGGTAATGTGTCTTTGTACTTTTCTCAGAGCAATACTCAAAAAACTATCAAAATGTAAAAACAATATGATGATAATTTAAGAAACTGCAGATTTCTATCATAAACACAAGCATACACACAGATGAACACACACAGCTATGAGTTGGTAGGGCAGTTTGTTTGATTCATGGGCCATACAGGCGGATCAGAAAGATGATCTTTGAATATCTACAGATCGCTTTATTACAGACACTGTTTATTTTAGGAATAATTATTATCCACTTTGTTGAAAACTGTGGAATAACCTCTTCCTGCTCCAGTGAAGTGTTCACGGGCCGCTGCAGAAATCTTTCTGGAAGGAGACCAAATGAGTGCGCCTAAAGCAGGACATCACTGTAAGGAGGACATTTGCACTTCAACATCCCTCAATATTTTTAGAAAAAAGGACAAATTAGTGAGAGCTTCTTCCCTTTGGAAACCTCAAATAACTGCATTCAAAAGGTCTTACTCTTTTCTCTTCATTATTTGTTGTTGAAACTAAGTTGACCTCTCTATATATACAGTAATTACCATCCTACATAATTCCAGGGGCCTTTTTCAGAAACCTGAAGTAATAACCAAGTACAACTAATGTTCCACAACTACATTCCCTGTAATTACTGCAAGATATCAAAGTGCTTTGTAGGAAACATTATATTAGACATGAAAGGCGACTCCGTCATCAACTTTCTTTTAAGGAAAGTATTAGGAAATAGACCATCAAAATGTATGCTAAAAATAGAGTTAAAACACTGTTAAAAAGCATCTAATCACCTGAAACACAGAGTAAAACACATATATAATAATATGATCTAATCTAGTGATGATGAATGGATGGATAACAGTTTAAAGATTTTTGGGGGTTGGAGATGATCAGATTTTTGAAAGAATTCTGAGATGAGGAAAGCATGATTGAACTATTGAATTGACATGTTTCTCTAAGCTTTCATCCCAAATCATACCCATAACTTTGTTGTGAGTCAAACCAAAGGAGTCTAGTAAATCACATGTAGTTTTAAAGCATTAATAAACCAATCAGGATTTTTGGAATCACGATGTCAAGGACGGTTTGTGCTACGGTTTGTATTTTTTGGACTACAGGCAGACAAAAACTGTTTGATCTACAATGTATGACATGCAGGACAGAGAGAAACATCTTAAGACGAATGAATGAAAGCGACCAGAAGAGTGAGGACACCAACATAGGTGACTTGGTAGATGGTGACTTGTGATGGTATAGCTTCGAAACCCAATCAGCAGTCAACACTTTTAGGAGCCAGCTCTGAAACAAAGCCGTTCTCCGAGGTGTTCACAGCCCTTTGTGCACTTTCCAGAAGGGTATTGGGTCCTAAGCTCTTAAACCCTCCCCTAGATGGTCCGTCTGTCTGTGGGCATCTAGTCCGGTAAAGCTCCTCCAGTAAGGCCTCATGCAGCCAAGGTGTGTGCATATGTGTGTTTGTGTGTGTGAGGACTTAAGTGAAATCCCACAGTGAGAACTGGCTGACAAACGTATTGGCTATATCCCAGCTAAAGCTTTGTAACGGCTGGTTTGGGACCGTGTGTGTTTGTGTGGTGCATCTACGCGTGTGTGATAGTGAGAGATGGGACAGCAGGCCTCACTGGACTCTGACCCTCATCTCACGCTGGACTGCACCACACACACACACACACACACACACACACACACACACACACACACACACACACACACACACAACACACATATTACAGTCCCCTTGTCGGCCTCCTGCCTGCTCCCTGACCCTGTTAACTGCCTGTTAAGTATTAATGACCAATTATCTGCCACTTCCTTTTGGTGGAGGGGTACACTCATTGTTTGTCTGTTCTTAGGAGAGGAGATGGAGACAATGTCTTGTAATTTCACTTAATTGCCTGCTTGTTTGTGTGTGTTTTTTTTTAACTGTGTGGGAGTACAAGTATAAATGTGTGTGTCAGAGAGATGAACAAGGGGGAGTTTTGTTGGTGCGTTTAGGGTGAGCGAGAGAGTGTGTGTGACTAGGCAAGAAAGAGGTTTAATTAAACGTCCCGAGGGATTAGAACCCAGATGAGTCAGGATGGTAATCTGGCCAGGGTGGCTTGAGTCATGACACTCAGCCTGCCTCACACATTTACACACACTGCGATGTTCGCCAGGATGTCTCTGTAATCCTCGCACCTCCTGTCTGCTCTGCCTCCCCGTCTTTCATGACCAATTCATTTAGTCTGCCTGCTCCTTCCCTTCATCTCCCAGCACACCATCTCTTCTTCTCTCTCGAGTTACACTCTCTTCCCCCCGTATAAATGTTTTTCCTCCGCTCGGCACATCTGACACCTTATTTCTCTCTCATCTGCCCTCCTTTCCCTCCTGCCAGCCCTTTCACACCATCACCCGCCCTCTGACCATCCATCTCTCCATAATGTGTCAGGATGCAGCCCTCAGTTGCCATTGGCTCCTTCTCCAAGCCCCTTCTACACTTTCTTCTCTTGTCGACTTCCCCCTGTGGGCCTTTTTACTCTCCTTTCTCACCTCTCTTTATAGCTTCCCCTGGCGCCTGTACTTCGATCTCTTTTCTTTTTTTACCTCCTCATTTTTTAATAACATTTAGCACCTCCGGTGTTACTAAATGTGTTTAAGACTAGTGGGATACTTAGAGGTAGTTGTTGCGTGGCTCATGAGCTTCACTATCTCTCTGAAGAAACAACACAGGATTCCTGAATGTAGGTTTCCAAGTTGCTAGCGTTAGCAGCGAAATAAAACACGTACAAAGGTTATTTTTATTTGACCAATTTTGTTCGGTATTTAATTTGCCATTCTCAGCATTTTTTGCAAAAATGTACTTTCAATATAATGTTACCCCAAATACATAAAGAATTAAAGCAAATGATAAAGGTTAAAGAGGTCATATTATGCTAATGTTCACGTTCACATATGTATTTTGTGCCTCAACAACATGTTTGCATGCTTTAATATTTAAAAAGTGTGATGATTGGTTAGCTGTCCGTCTCTATTGTGATTGGTCAACCGCTAATAGATGTCCCACCCCTTGCACAACAACCTTTATAACACACTACAGGAAAGGGAAAACCCCAAGAGCATAATAGGCTAATTTCCCCTCCTGTGGTAAAGGATAACCACTTCCCAAAGCTCAATTCCCTTCAAAGAAGCGAACACAATCAGTCCCCATCTCTACTCTGAGATACTAATATAAATATGGCTGTGATATAATTACAAAGTTTCAAATAGGTGTGCCTGTTATTGAAAAACACATTTCAAGCGACATATTACTGTCGAGCACCTGTGGTTGAATCGGTAATAGAAAAACTGGAATCAATTATATGTGTAAAGACAGTAGAGGTTGACCTTTTTGCGGTTATGTTTGGGTATTTGTATATATGAGTGTGCATGCATGTGGGAAGCTATTTGAAGCCAACTCTGCATCACGATGGAATTTGAAATGAAATGTCAAAAGCTAACAACTATTTTAATTAACATTGAATCTATTGATATCTTTTTGTATTCATTTACTAATGGGCTTTGAGATGTCAACAAAGACATGACAAGTTGCCCTCCTCAAATTACTTGTTTTGCTCAAAAGCCAAAGATACTCCATTGAACAGCCAATCCTGTCATTGGGAAACCTTGAAACTGCACATTTCTGACTTTCTTCTTTGATAAATAAAACAAAATCGAATATGTTTTTAATGAAACCTCTCTCCGTCTCCTTCCTTAGGCCCAGGAACATCCAGTGGTCCAAGATTAACGACACCTTACCAGAGAGAGCAGAGATTTCCGGCCCCAACTTTCAGATTTCCCGCCTCAGCCAATTACACAACGGGACGTACTTGTGCCAGGCCCAGAACAACTTTGGACGCGCTGCCGATCATTACACCCTGCTGGTGTACGGTGAGTAACTATGGCTGACAGTTGAGTACATGTTTTCTTTAGAATTTCCAAGAGTGCTTGAAATGTTTTCTTTATTGATTCATCTTCTCCATTGTTTTCGTTCATTTCCAGTCCTGGGTAATTGTTAACTGCTCATAATAATTGTTCTTCCAATGGATCTTTTGCTTGTTGCATTTGTTGTTCTTCTGTTCTGATACTGTTTGGGAGAAATCTTTTACATTTCATCGGTCCTTTTATCTCCCCAGTGTCTTTGGAGTCTGGGTATTCTAGCGCTGGGCAACAGATCCATTAAATCCTGACGCTTGTCTCATCTGTCCTTCGGTTTTATTTGTTTTCCTGTTTCAGTACACAGCAGGAAACCTCTGCTAAACCTTCTGCACAATTGATTCAACAGAGATATTGATTCCAGAAGAAGAACGAAGGCTACCGTGCTCAGAAAGTAGTCACCAACATCATTATTCAGGCTTTTCATTGTAAAGAACCAATGTATCGTGTACCCTGTGACCCCGTCCTCACTTCCCTGAATTCAGAGTAACTTTATTCCTCAAGTGCAATAAATAAAACTTTGAGATGTTGTGACAGCTGCATGCAATTCTCAAGACAAGTTTACAAGTAGGAGAAGAAGAAGACAACACAGAGTTCAAAGTAACTTTTCAATGCGGGATCTGTTGGAACACTGCGTTTTACATGGTTTACATTTGGCAAAACAACAGGGGTGGAACATATGTGGCATTTAAAATTCAGGCAAATCAACTTTGCCTTAGCAGAAGTATCAGAGGCGGGAGGAAGATGTGGGTAAGGGGGCTTCTGTTGTCAGGTTTTACAAGTTCTCCAAGATGTTGCACCTCGATTCAGTGGTGGTAAATTCTTAATGAAGGTTGACCCAGATAGACTGCACACCGTGGCTCTGAGAAAATGACAGCGATGCTTGCAACATCACATGAAAATCATCTCATCTCGATAAAGTTATTCCTCAGAAAATGTGACAAATTGGCCAACTTTCTCCCTGAGTTTGAAGCACATTTTGAAAACAAGCTTTCGATGTGATTTATGTTGTGTGATCCGCTCATGAAGCAACTGAGTACACTTGCAAGAAAAAAGGGAACAAAATAGGGATTGTGAGATTTTAATGGGACAGTTGAGGAAAGTTAGCGCTTCATTAAGACTTCTATGGTTTTGGCCTGATTGCTCACACTCCCCTGTCACTCAGCAGGTTTGATCTACCCGTCCCCTGCAGGCAGCTCCTGTCATCGCACCTTAAGAAATCTGAAGGAAGAAGGGCGGAGAGACATGATATATTATGTAAAAACAAAATGTAATGCAGCGCCCCCACATCTATCCATCACACTAAAACTCTCTTTCTCTCACAAGTGCACACAACAATCACACACTCTTGTACAAGCTTGTCTAGCATCAAAAGGCGCACGTAATGGCAGCTTTCCACAGGCATCAAGGGTGGCAACAGTGGCAAGATGAAAGGTGACATCGCCACCCACTCTGCCTCTCTCTTCGTCTTTTTCTCTCTGTCTTTCTCTCTCTCTCGCTTTCTATCCTAGAAGGTTAGACATGCCAAGCTTTGATGTGCGTTGCCACCTCTGTAGAAAAATGTTCTGTCCTCCTCCTCCTCAGCCTCCTCCCTCATCGTTTTTAGCAGTCTTCTTCACGGTGTCATTTCCTCTTTTTCTACGATTCATCATTTGTCATTCTTTGTTTAATGCCGCTGCTCCGCGCTGGTCATTAATTTGATTGATACTTTTTTGTCATATCGTCTCTTATTATGAAAAAGAAGTACATGCAAAGTAAGACATCTTGCCTCGACATAAATCCATAAAATCCACATAACCAACATAAGCCAGGCTGCAACTCCTCTGCTCTGCACCACGGATTTCCAGCAATCAGCCTCTTAAATCCTCCCGCTGTAGCCCTGTATCAGTGCTGGTTTGCTCTACTTCAAAAGATATGCACTCGCCCACTGGGCAGATTGTTTAAAACCTTATCTCCTACAGCTCAGAGTTGTTGATTTAGCCATCGAATTAATAATCTGTATGATTTAAAGTCATGCCACAACTAATAATAACTGGCTAACCTGGTGTCACTCCTTACGCAAGGATAGTCATACACACTCCTTGCATTCAGCCGAACATCTTTGCAGGGATATATATGCACTTATGAATGTTACATAATCATAAGAAGGTGTTTGTTTTGCATGACTGCCAATCTAAATACATCTATGGATCATTTAATACAGTGTTAGCGAAGTGCTATGTTATGATTAAATATAAGTTCATTAGTCAATATTGAATACAAATATGAATCCACAAAGATGACTCTTCTAACACTCAGCACCCACTTTGTTATTGCAGGCGTATTTATTGAATTTTTTTAGATAGTGAATATTTCATTTTGTTCCAAAGTACTTCATATGTAGATGGGGATAGTGATAGATAACTCCACTTCTCCATTACTCTCTTTGTGTCCTTACTTCTCATATTATCCCTCCTCTGTTGCCTCACCCTTTTCCCCATTCCTTTCCTTGACATCCGTCCTCATTTAATCTACCCGCTGTTCTGTTCATGTCCACTTCCTCTTCCCCCCCCACCCCCTCACCCTTTCCACTGTGTTTCACCTTGCCACCAGTTTGCCCTCTGTTTTCAGTTCATCTACAGTTCAGTCTCTTTATTCAAGGAACACCTAGGTTTCTTAGAATATGGCATGGAGAGTGTGTGGGAGGAGTTAGGAAGGGAGAGATCGAAAGGAGGAAGGAAGGGGTAGAGAGGGTAGGAAGAAGTGATGGAGGAGTACAAAGGGAGAGAAGAAGGGCGATGGAGGTTGAACGCAGGTTAACATTCAGTATGTCCGTTTAGTTGGCTCCTAGCCTTTTCCCAGGAAATCCCAGGGTGCACTGGGGGAACAAGGTGGGGGGAAGGGCTTTAGGATGTGTGTTGTATAAGTTGACTCAGCAGAAAAGAAACCATTTTATTGCAGGTGCAGAAAAACAACCACCAGTGATCTCTCTCGTCTTTCTCCTTCTCATTCCGTGTCAACCTTCCCTCGGCGATTGTTATCTGCCGCCAGGGTGTGTACACAGAGTACAAACTCAGGCAAAAGTGGCTGCCAATTTGTCACAGGTGCTTTAGGCGCTGTCACTTTATGAGGGAGATGGGCTTAATGCTGGCAAAGGGGAACAAAGAGCAGGAGTTGAGAAACTCTCCGGGGAGCCCGCTGTGGCAGAGACGTGACGCATTGGAGCTGAGCTTCATTTGACTGGTCACACTTGGGTGTATTTGGAACTGTGTGTGTGTGTGTGTGTGTGTGTGTGTGTGTGTGTGTGTGTGTGTGTGTGTGTGTGTGTGTGTGTGTGTGTGTGTGTGTGTGTGTGTGTGTGTGTGTGTGTGTGTGTGTGTGTGTGTGTGAGTGTGTGCATGCACTTTGATGTGTTAATAATTTAGCGTGCGCATAGCTAATACAATTTCTGCAACTTTCACAAAGTCACTATTGAAATAAATGGGAGAGATGGTTGTGATTGAATCAGAGTGCACACATTACACACACACACACACACACACACACACACACACACACAGAAAGTGTCTGCTGACTGGTGGAAAAAAAGGATGTAGCTGCTGTTGGTTGTTCCATATCTGTGCCACCATTGTTAAGGAGGAATTGGATTTTTATATGTGTGAATATACGCAAAGGTGCGAGTGAATGTGTGTGTGTGCATGTGATTGGGAGGAGGGTGTTACTGATTGTCTGGTGAAAGCCTGGAGGGATCCGTTATGTAATTGAACATCGCTGTTGCACTCAGATGAATCGCGGAGCCAATAAAACCCATTAGAATTGAATTGCATGAGAGAGTGTGGGAGATTTGGAGAAACAGAAAAAGGAGAGGACGAGGTACAGATGAAGAGATGAGGATTGTTAGTTTGAATATATGGGAATTACTTATGTGTACATGTTGTGCAAAACAGAGCAGGAAGTGATCACAAGGGAGGGATTAATTGTTCTTTCTCCGGAGGTTTTTCCTTATACGATGTGAGGGTCTAAGGACAGAGGGTGTCATTTTTCTCACACTGATATTCTGAACAAACTGTGCTGTTGTATTAACTGTGGGCTATTTTTATTATATGTACAGCACTTTGGCTCGACCAAAAATCGTTTATAAATGTGCTATATAAATAAAACTTGATTTGATTATATAAAAATGTACTGTATATGGAAAGCATATGATAGAAATATGAAATTATAGAAGCACAGTGAGATAGACAAGGATGCTAGGTGACCAGGGATTAGTCTGTGTCTCTCTGGCTGTTGTAATAAGCCGTCAGGATAATTGGAATACTGAAAAACTAAATGTAATGAAGTGAGACTTTCAAAAAACATCAAATGAGAATGAAAGTGTAAAAAGGTTGGAGGGATGTGGCAGTGGGGAGAGATAATGGAGAGAACATTTTCCAGTTTTTCTCCACAATCCTCTTGACGCCTGGTTGAATTTTGAATGAGTCATCATCAGCCAATCAGTGTTCGAGGTTATGGCCTTAAAGGTGGACCCCTGACCAATGTCCAGCATTTAGTGCACTGATTGACAGTGAGAGAAACCACTGCTCTCGGCAAGGCTCTTTTAATCGGGGAACACGAAAGAATAACAGTGCTCATCCAAAATGGCGCCGCAGTATCCTCAGGCACACTACTGCGAGAATGAGATACGACAAGGAACGTCATTATCGCAAGTGCCGCCACATCCATCCCTGGAAATAACATGGGCTGTGTGCCTGATTGGCAGCCATAGAGTGTGTTAATGAATAACAATATGATGTAGGGAGAAAGAAAAGGACGCTATCGGCCAAGAAAACGACAGCTGTATGGCATTCTCCTTAATTAAGTTGAAGAGAGGGAACGTAGTTACTGAGGAGTGAAACCAGAGAGGCAGTGGAATGAAGGAAAATGAAGCAGGGGGGG